ATTCAAATTCTTTGCCCATTTTTTAATTGGGGTACTTGCTTTTTAATATTGAACTGTAAGGTTTCTTTACATATTCTAGTATATGGAGCTTAAATTCTGAAGCACTTGGTTTGTGGAAGGCTGTGGTCTACAGTGGGAGCCCTAACTCCATTTTGGGTCTTGAAAGAAGTTCAGACACCATTTGAGTTCTTTCCGACCTTTAAATCAACAGTGTGCATAGACAAGTTCTAAGAAAAAACTTGGGAGGGGCAGTTTGCCCTCGGGAAGAGTATGGTTGAAAGTAGGTTGATTATTGCTCACACAAAGAACTAGGGAACTTGCCTCACCCAGTGTCCTTATCTAATTTAAATTAAGGTTGGGGTCTTGGTATTGTCTTATAGCAACCTAGTGGCTATGACTCAGGCTGCATGTGCATGAGTCATATCTGGACCACCACATAACCAGGCGGTCAAGACCCAGAACCAATCCTGTAACTGTTTCTAATCTTGAATTATGTATGTATGCCAATCATGGTCCTTTCTCCACTTCTGTAGTCCCACCTGTGACAGTGACGAGTTTATCTGCTTCCTTTCATTATTTTGTGATGATTTCTTTGGTTTTCAATTATATAACTGGTCCCATAGCCATGACTCAGTGGACTCCATTTGGCTGCTGTACTATGTACATAGGAGTTCTGGTAGCATAGTGCCTAAGGCACTTGACTGCAGTTCAAACCCACCAGCCACTCCTCAGAAGGAAGGTTGGGCAATCTACTTCCCTAGTGATACTGCCTCGGTAACCCAAGGAGGGGTTGCCATGAGTCGGGTCCAACTCCACGGCACATAACAACAACAACAAGTGTGTACATGCTAATAGTTTCCATTATTTTGGATGATTGTGTTTGTCCCGTCTAAGACTTAATAAAGAGGTCCCTGTTGAACCTGTTTGAATCTGGGGTCTCCTTTTATTCCCCTAGCACACTAGATACAAGTCCCTTACAGATATGATTTTCAAATATTTTCTAGTATACTGTGGATTGTCTTTTAACTTTCTGGATGGTGTCCTCTGAAGCACAAAAGTTTTTAATTTCAGGAAGTTTAACTTATCTGTTTTTTCTTTTGTTGCTTATACGTTTGTGTCATGTCTAAGAATCCACTAATCAAGGTCATAAACATTTGATCCTATATTTTCTTCTAAGACCTTTACCATTTTAATTCCAACATGTAGGTCTGTGATTAATTTTGACTTGATATTTGTACATGATGTGTAGTAAGAGGTTCAGCTTCATTCACTTTACCACAACCACAATCAGGATAGAGAACAGTTACATCAGCTCAAATCTCTTTCTTGAGTAATCCCTTTGTAGTATACCCTCCCACCCTCCCTGGCAACCACAGACAGCCCTGTTCTCCATCGGAAAATCATAGTTTCATCTCTCTGAGAATGTTATAGAAATGGCATGATCCAGTATGTAGTCTCCTGAGACTATGTTGTTATCACAGTCTCAAATTCTTAACTCAAACTTGTAAGCAGAAACCCTTAAGGACAGTTTTCGCTAACAGTGTTCTGGTAGAGAGAGTTCAAGGCTCACAAATAAGGACCCAGATGAAGCACTGCTTTCTGATGGAAGGTAGATTTACCTCCCATGACCACCCCCAGACTCAAGGAGTAGATTTACCTCTGAGAGAATTCAAAACAGTGAGAAAAGGGAAAACAATCCAGACTGAATTGAGGATGAAAGTAAATTATCAAGAATGGAAATAAGCCAGTAATAAAACTTGGTTGAACCTCAGACACAGCAGGGCAGAATTTTGAAAATCCAAGAGGTTCTCACCCAGGCAGCTCCCAAAAGTCTATAGAAAAAGATTTCAGTTGACTCAGCTGGATCCAGAGCCCAATTTCTCAGCTTTCTGAGGCTGCTGGAGGAAGTTGCCTATGGATCTCACCAATTTGATTGTGGAAGAAGAATTACAAGTCTGTTTAAATGAAAACAAAACGTTTTATTTATGGCAAAAGAGTATTTTGCAAAATGGGGAAATACAGAATCAAGTAGCTTTCCACAAAGTGCTCCAAGGACCTACAGAATCACAGAGATTGATAAAGGCAAAAACTGCAAGTAAAGGGGTAGAGCTGGAGTATTTCTGATTGGTTAGCATTCACTAAGTTGAAGGTGGCAAGAGCTTGGCTGAGCACCCCTGTGGGAGTTGACCTCCTGTGCAAAAAGAAGTCATCAACTCTTCTTTGGTCTTCCTTATTCATTGTCCGCCTTTCACATGCACCTGAGGTGATTAAAAATACCATGGCTTGGGTTAGGCACACCTTAGTCTTCAAAGTAACATCTTTGTTCTTTAACAGTTGAAAGAAGTCTTTTGCAGTAGATTTGCCCAGTGCAATATGATGTCTGATTTCTTGACTGCTGCCTCCATGGAAGTTAACTGTGGATTCAAGTAAAATGAGATCTTTAGACAGTTTCAATCCTTCCTTCATTTATCGTGATGCTGATTATTGGTCCAGTTGTGAGGATTTTTGTTTTCATTATGTCGAGTGTAATACATACTGAAGGCTGCATGCAGGCTTTAATCTTCATCAGTAAGTGCTTCAAGTCATCTGCCCTTTCAGCAAGCAAGGTTGTGTCATCTGCGTATCACAGGTTGTTAATGAGTCTTCCTCCAATCCTGATGCTGCATTCTTCTTCACATAGTCCAGCTTGTTGGATTATTTGCTCAACATACAGATTGAATAAGTATGGTGAAAGGCTACAATCCCGAAGCACACCTTTCCTGATTTTAAACCATGCAGTATCCCCTTGTTCTGTTTGAATGACAGCCTCTTGGTCTATGCATGGGTTCCTTATGAGCACAATTAAGTGTTCTAAAATTCCCATTCTTTGCAATGTTATCCATAATTTGTTAGGATCTACACAGTTGAATGCCTTTGCATAGTCAATAAAACACAGGTAGACATCTTTCTGGTATTCTTTGTTTTCAGCCAAGTTCCATCTGACATCAGCAATGATATCCCTTGTTCCACGTCCTCTTCTGAATCCAGCTTGCATTTTTGGCAGTTCCCTATCAATATACTGCTGCAACCATTTTTTTAATTATCTTCAAGAAAATTTTACTTGCATGTGACATTAATGATACTCTTCAATGAATTCTGCTTTCTGTGGGATCACCTTTCTTTGGAATAGGCAGAAATACTGGTCTCTTCAGTTGGCTGGCCAGGTAGCTATCTTCCAAATGACTTGGCATAGATGAGTAAGTGCCTCCAGCACTGCATCCATTTGTTGAAACATTTCAATGGGTATTCCTGAATTCCTGGAGCCTGTTTTTCTTTAGAGTCAATTCCTTTAGTGCAGTTGGACTTTTTCCTTCAATATCCTTGGTTCTTGATCATATGCCACCTCCTAAAATAGTTGAATATCCACATAGATATTATCTATTGATACCATTGTGTATGGTGGGCATCTTTTTACTTTTTAGCTGTTGAACTTTTCTAAATTGAAGAAATAGAAAGGATAGTAAAAATAGATTCTCAGGTACCATTATGTAGCTTTAGCAATCATCTATCATGGTCAGTCTTTTTTTTTTTAAATATTATTAGGTGAAAGTTTACAGAGAAAATTAATTTTCCATGCAGCAGCTCACATACACTTTGTCTCATGACATTGCAATTTCCCACAATGCAACAGCTCCCCTTCCAATTCCCCCCCATAGTTACCTCTTCTTCGTGTCCCTCCCTCCTGTGTATTCCTGCCCTCGAGCTGTCTCCCTGTGCATACACAGCCCTTCTGTTCTCCCATGATTGATCTCTCCAAGGAGTGTATCTACCTAATATAAGTGTTAGGCTCATATGCCTGTTTTTTGTTTGGCTAGAAGCTACAGGAGTGGGTTCAATTCTAGACCTGAAGGGCACCTAGGGGCCACAGTCTCAGGGGTTCCACCCTATCATGGTCAGTCTTATTTCAGGAATATGATGTTGTGTCAATAAATCTCAAAATATAAAATATCGAAATATCTACTTTTCACTTCTCTATTCCGTTCTGACCCCAGCTGTCCCCACAGCACTTCTTTCTCTCACCCTAGCCACCTGTTGTTGCTAGGGCCAGCTCTCACAAGTTAAAAGAATGCTGTTCTTCAGACTGCCAAACAGGCAGGCTCTAACCCTAAGGTTGAGAGTCCTCATGACACCCTCATTTTTGGCCTGCTGGTTACAAATATGGGGTATCCCTTATCCCTTCAATATGCCAGCCACAAGCTTGGGAGCCCCTCTGGGCTTCCTCACTTCTGACCTGTTGGCTCCTACTACTCCATTGGGTTTGCTAATTTGCTGAAATGACTCAGAAAATTCAAAGTGTTATGTTTATAATTACACAATTATAAGTTATCTATAAATGTCCTTTTCTGGAATATTACTGCCATTCTCTTGCCAGCTGTTTTACATAGATGTGACTACTCTACATGATGAGTGAAGTGTTAGGGATTTTATTAGAAAAGGTTATTAAAAGGCAGAAACAAAGTCAGTGATTTTACAGATCCCATTTGGTTACCTGAACTCTTCCGAAATGCTTATTCTGACCCCATCTGTTTACTTCCTCCTTTCTCTAAAGTTGAAGTTTCCTTTCATTTTTTTAAATCTTCACCATCCTTAATGCCTAGCACAAGCTCCACCTCCATGATGCCCATCCTATACCCTCCCATCTTTGAATTTCTCCATTATGAATTCTCAGTCACTTTCTTGAATGCTGCTTAATGCTTTCAAGTTGATTCACAAATCCTTTCTCCAGTGAAGTTATACGTGTCTGGGGACACACTTTGTGTGTCACTTGTTCTCCCTACAGGGTTTCTCACAAAGCCAGGGACACAGTCATGTCCAGGAGAACTGGATGTGGAGAACTGTGTTCTCTGAAGAGAACAAGATGAAGTTCTTCTTATCCAGGCTCTTTACGGCCTCCAGTTAAACTCCTCTCATTGGGGAAATTGATGGTGATTTGCTGTCCATTGATTGACTGCTTGTTCTAGGAATCAGTTACATTCGAGGGTGTCACTGTGGTGTTCACGGAGGCAGAGTTGAAGAGGCTGAGCTCTGAGCAAAAGGACCTGTACAAAGAAGTGATGCTGGAGATTTACAGGAATCTGCTGTCATCGGGTGAGGATGTGCCTTTTTTCTTTTCCCCCATTAATTCAGAAGATATTTGTTGGCCACCTTCTGTATGCCGAGGAGCCCTGATTATTGCGGTGGTTAAGCACTTTGCGGCTAACCAAAAGGTCAGGAGTTGAAACTTACTAGCTGCTCTGTGGAAGAAAGATAAGGCACTCTCTTCTGCAAGGATTTACAGCATTAGAAACCCTGTGGGGGCAGTTCTCTGCCCTATAGAGTCACTGTGAATCAGAATCAATGGCAATAGTTGTTG